TGATGATGAGTGTTTTTTTTACAGACAGTTGAAAATAAGAGACTTGGACAAGAGGGAAAGTGAAAAAGAGAATCTGCCGTTCGTCAGCATGCGTAGAAGCCGATGCATAACGAGATGAGGAAGAACCGGCTTCCAGGTAGCAGCGATCTGTATCTTATAAACAAGAAATTGGCCCCGAAAGTGAGTAAGGGATGTTTTAATTGGCGGGACGGCCTCGAAAGAACGTCTCAAAGATACAGGAACCTGCTCCTAAGAAAAATCGAACAAGACAAACATGTAGTTGGCAAATATTTGGCATTCCTTTGGACATTTAATTCAATTTCCGTAAAAGTTAATGAAAAATAAAAATGTTGTTAATGAAATGTTTTGTTTTTTGTTTTTGGGCAACACTGTAGGTAACATTGGTCAGAATCAAATGAGAAGTTGGACTGTTAATTTTGGTTCATTTAAATGTAGAGTTCTGAGTTAAAACGTTTTTCCAACGTAAATAAAAACTATGAAAAAAATATTTAGATATATTAAGATGTAAAAACAGTTGATGCTGTTTTTTCACTCTATCCCTTGTTTGATTTTTGTTATCGTTTCTTTGGTACGTGACGGAATTCAAAATTATAAAGGCACGGATTTATTTTGTGAGTGTATCATTTAAAACCTGAGACGAGCACTATCCACTTCGAGATAATCTACAACGAGACCAACTCCAAATATTTTTAAATTGTAGAAAATTTATAAATTTCTGAGCAAAGATTCTAATTATATTTCGCTAATCTTCCTACGACTATACCAGGTTAGGAAAGATAGTTAGCAAATTCCAACCTCGGTGTTATTTAATGAGATAAGCATTTCTAATTATTCCAACGAGGAGAGTCCAGATAAATATCGGTTTTGAAGCTGAGACGATCCAGTATTTGAATATTCTCCGCTCAGGCCATTGTTGTCGGACTGGATTTATTTTAAAAACGAGTTCTGCTTCAGATACTGCTTGCAGTACAGTTTTGTCCCTTGCAGGACTTGACTACTAATGCACAGATTACCATTTTTCAAGAACAGGTTGAGAAGTGCACAATGGATTGCCTTAACATTACCGTTAAATCCGACATAAGTCGAACAAGTTTAAAAAATCGGTTCAGCTTTCCTTTGGGACTTTTTTTTTAACTGATGCACGACTTTCTGTGTCTTATGGACGCCGATTTACAACATAGAGATGGCCCGGGGAGTTTTGAGACGAGACGTTTTTTGGAATTAGTACTTGTGTAATGAACGTGACATGAAAGGGAGTAATATCGCGTAGTACCCGGTAGTACTTCGAAATTAGTATCGAATATTTCAACCTATTTGACCAAAGTCAGTCAGGACGTCGATCCAAGATAGAAACTAATTGCATAATTCCCTGGGCATTTGTTATGAATTATTTTTTGGAAACCGTGAGATGCGGTCTGGTGTGACGTAGGTTTCAGAAAACATTTTCTTTATCGTGCCAACGTTTCGATCTTTATTAAGATCATCTTCAGGGTTCAAAGTGTTTTTTCTGCGTAATTGTGCCATTCTTGTGTGTCGTGTTGGCACTCTCAACACAAGAATGGCACAATTACGCAGAAAAAACACTTTGAGCCCTGAAGATGATCTCAATAAAGATCGAAACGTTGGCACGATAAAGAAAATGTTTTCTGAAACCTACATCACACCAGACCGCATCTCACGATTTCTAAATAAATATCTATTAACGGTCACTAATCACCACACATTTTGCATTGTATAAATTCACTTTTCCACATCCTAAATGTATTTGTTAAATGTAAACAATGTTTGTAAATCCCAGGCCCTGAAGATGATCTCAATAAAGATCGAAACGTTGGCACTATAAAGAAGATGTTTTTCTGAAACCTACATCACACCAGACCGCATCTCACTATTTCCGAATAATCATCGACTAACGGTCACTAATCACCACACGTTATGAATTATGATCGAAGAAAAGAGGTCCAGATTTTAACAGTTTTTTTCAAAGGGTAAGGATTTTTCCATATTCTTTCCCAGCCGTGAATCAACAGAATTTGGTCCAGATTTTAACAGTTTTTTTTTCAAAGGATAAGGATTTTTCCATATTCTTACCCAGCCGTGAAGCAACAGAAGATAATATGAAACAAAAATCAAAAACTCGGCCAGAAAAAAAAGGAAAAAATTCCCTACCCACGGCAACACTGCTCTCAACACTGTTTTTCTACTTTAGCATCTGTCATTGTTACTACGGGTGGAGAATTTTTTCCTTTTTACTGATCGAGTCGTGAAGCAACAGCAGACGATAAAATAAAACAAAGGCAGCAATAACCAAATTCGGTTAATACAGAGAATTTAATAAGGCAGAGCAGTGTTGCCACAGGTAGGGAGTTTTCCCTATTTTTCTAACTGAATTAAGCAACAGCAGAAGAAAGTAAAAATAAAATCAAATACTTGGTTTATTAAAAAAAATGATTTTAATAAGGAAAAACTCCTTAGCAAAGAACCAGTGGTATTGTTTGCACTCTTAAAAAATTCATTTTTACTTATATCGGGTTGTCCGGAAAATAATGCAGGATTTTAAGTTTTCATTAAAAAAAATCTATATAAAATATTCTGTTTACGTTTACAGGATTACTCATTTGTATGAATGTCAACACTTATTAATCCTCTTCCAAATGATATTGTTTGTTTACCTCTGTAGCATTCCGCTACTTGGAAATAATTAGTCATCCTTATAATGTCAAAGCGAGAATTTCGTACGATTTTCTTTTACGAGTTTAAACTCGGCCGAAGCGGAGCCCAAACGGCTAGAAACATTAACCAAGTCTGGGGCGAGGGTTGTGTTAATGAGTGCACTGTGCAAAGGTGGTTTAAAAAATTTCGGGAGGGAGATTTCAGCCTTGAAGATGAAGAAGGTCGTGGAAGGCCTTCCTCTCTTAATGATGATGTTCTGCGATCAGTGGTGGAAGAAAACCCCAAAACAACTGTTCGAGAACTTGCAGAGCAACTCAAAGTCAGTAAAACGACCGTCGCTGACCACCTCAAGGCGATTGGAAAAGTGAAAAAACTCGAAAATTGGGTTCCACACTCATTAAACGATCGCCAAAAAATCAGCGCTTTGATGTTTGTGCATCACTTCTTTGTCGAAACAAAAATGACCCATTTCTGGCCAGAATTGTTACATGTGACGAAAAGTGGATTCTCTACGATAACACTAGACGTTCTGGACAGTGGCTCGACAAAGGAGAAGCTCCAAAGCCCCCAACTCATCAAAAAAAGGTAATGGTTACGGTATGGTGGGCTTCATTTGGTTTAATACACTACAGCTTCTTAAATCCTGGCGAAACCATCAATGCTGAATCATACTGTAACCAAATTAATACCATGCATCAGAAATTGGCAGTAATGAAGCCCTCTTTGGTCAATCGGAAAGGGCCCATTTTGTTGCATGACAACGCTCGACCACATGTGTCACGTGTAACGTCACAAAAATTATTGGAGCTTGGCTATGAAACTTTGCCTCACCCACCCTACTCTCCGGACCTCTCGCCTACTGACTACCATTTTTTTAGACACCTGGACCACTACTTACAACACATAATATTCAAAAATCAAACGGAACTGGAAAATGCATTTATTGACTTTATCAATTCTAAAAATTCTGAATTCTACTCAGACGGAATTAATAAGTTACCAACACGTTGGGAGAAATGTATTGAGAGTATGGGAAATTATTTTGATTAAAGAACATTGCTTTAAAGTAACTAGTTTCTTTTTTTTTGTTTAATACCAAAATCCTGCATTATTTTCCGGACAACCCAATATTTAAGAGAAGGTTCCAAGATGGACAATTTAGATTGGGCACCAAAAAAAAATCATTGTTGCCAACACACGGGATGAAACGTTAAGGTAAGATAAAACACCTAGCCCTTAACTCGAGGGGTTTCCTGATAACTTAGAACAAAATAGTTAAAGTTGGCAATGTATAAAGTTTTTTACGTAGAAAGTCAAGGTAACTTACTATAATAAAAATTGTTTAAAGTATTTGTTTTATTTGTATTTCACCTAACATTTTATTGACCTACTATTTTAAGTAGTAATGATTAATGACGTAAAATGGTGACGTCATGATTAGGTTAGAGCAACTAGAAGTCTATGTGTAAGATGGGCTAATATGAAGGGAGGATAAGGCGGAGATGGACGTGAAAACTGTAAGGTGATTTAAGGCGGAGGTGAGTTCGCCGCCAGACCCAAGAAAATGAGGCGTGGTGTAGATTGGGGTAGAAAGTGTAAGGGGGAGAGGGGGCCCAGAAACGGCCTTTCTTATCTATGTATGTATTACTATGTCGTTATCTAGATGTATTACATATTGTTTTCTGGGAATGTATTTATAAGCGCAAATGTCTAGTAATGCATCATAATCTAATGTTATCACAGTTAATACCATAGCGGCCTTACAGATTAGGGACTAGGTACAAGTAAATTTTTTTAGACGATAGGGAAATTTGGAAGTATTTGGGGGGAATTTTTTTTAGACCTGGTAACACTGGTCCTTCGCCGTTGAGCAAGGTGGATAGAGGAAGCGAACCAGGTCAGAATGGGCGGTCCCGTGACAAATCTCGACCCCCATGTCGAATCATAGTCGAGACCATGTTTTGATTGACTTTTCTCTACTAACCATGGGAGAAAATCTCGGAAAACTATCAATTAATCTCACTGGGTCGGCGTTTTATTTATTTATTTTTTTTTTTTTGGGGGGGGCGATTAATTTGGAAAGACCGTTTCTTAAAATAGAGAAAGAGTAAGTTTCTTTACTTTTTTTATATTAAAGCAACATCTTGAGCTCAAGTTGCAAAGCCGTTTTTATTATTATCTTCAGGTTAAACATGTATTGTCACATTTTTACTTTGGGGGTCTGAGGGGTGATGAAGTTGTTTCTGATCATTTTGGTCCATCAGACGCACAAAATTTTTAAGAAACTCAACACTGAAGATGCCGTGAAGCTTAACGCGCCTGACAGGCCACACGCTCAAAATATCTCCGTATCTTCTGCGGAAAGCAGTGCCAGTAGGACAACGAGACGCTATAATGAATTCTCTGTACGTCGGAAAAAGCAATTCTGGATGTAACGCGCGGTAATCCATCCGACACGGCCCAGAGGCGTTTCAGAAGTTGTCAACCCACCCAGCCTCTTTTTAGGTGTAAGAAAATCTAATTGTTCTGTAGTAATTAATGTTTTACACCCGAGACTCGTTCTATTTACAATCGAATATTAAAAATAAGTCCCATGCCTCTTTGTTTGGTGTGTTGGCAACACTGATTTGCTTGGCGCCAAACTAAAATGTCAATCTTGGAATCTTAAATCTCCACCATGGCTCTCTTCAGCTCCTCGAGGTAAGTTCTTCATGTAATTAACATTCTGAACTTTGAAAAATGTGGTTTCAATTAACAGGCAGTATACGAGACAAAAGCAAAGGGAAGGACAATCCTGAAAACTGACCGGCCAGGAAGGAAATTCCTTTTGACAGAAAAAAGGAAATTACCGCGTACCTTTTTTTCCACCGGCTCTTTGTCTCAATTAGACCTCGGCTAGGAAGTTTAGTTCTAGGTAGACGATAATAGCTCCTCAGGAGGACTCTTTCCGTCGTCAGTGCACTCCTTCTCAGAAGAGGGTGTCAGACCAGATAATTTAAAAAAAACGTATTCAATAGTTTTTATCCCCTCCTGTTCCTAGGTTCCGGGTTGGTGTGTGCAACATTGCATTTTTTGGCGCCAATCTAAAAATCTCCATCATGGAATCTTCATTGCCAAATGGCAAATGGTTTTTAATGGACTAACTATTCTATAGAAATCATCAGAACTCATTTTATTTTTTTATGTGGCTGGATTTTGTTAAAGGTTAGATGGGAAATCCCGTCAGTTTAGGGTTCAGTGTTGTTCGAAGAGTGATTCCGCCCGTGTTGTTGGCAACACCGGATTTTTATGGCGCCAAGCGAAAATCTCCTTCTTGGAATGTTCAATCTCCAACTGGCTCTTCACTCCATGGGTAAGTTTCTTTTGTAATTATTTTTATTTATATATATATTCGTGTTTTATATATTTTATACAAACTATCCCAACACCATTTTGTTTTAATGTGGGCTGAATTTTGTTCGAGGTTAGCGGGAAATCCCGTGAATTAAGTGGCAGTGTGGCCACTAAAGTTGTTCTGCCAATGTGTTGGTAACGTTGAATTGTTTGGCGCCAATCTGACTCTCCATCTTGGAATCTTCAATCTCCACCATGGCTCTTCACGTCTAGAGGGTAAGGTTCTTTTATAATTATGAGTTATGAATATCTCCATGTTTTAAATATTCTATATATATTTTTGTTTTAATGTGGTATACATTTTGTTAGGACGGATGCAGTGTGTTGTTCCACTGTCTCTGCCAGTGTGTTGGCTATATTTCATTTTTTGGGGCCAATCTGAACTCCCAATCTTGGAATATTCACTCTTCAACATGTCGCTTCAGCCCTAAATGCTGAGTTTGTATGCAAATGATCCCTTATGTTTAAAATAAATTGAAAATGTTTATTACGTTAAAACCGCATAAAGAACCTTGAAGTGCTAGAAGTTTTAGTTTTATAATTTAATAGCCATTTCAGGCAGAGTCTAATTTGATCATTTGACAGTCTAGTAGGAAAACCTCCGGATTGGGTTTTTTGATTGATCGGACCAAGACCAATTTTCATGGGGGAAAATATCAATCATGAAATAGGTATGTATCAATTTAAATGATCAAAGAATCAGAACGTGAGCCGAGATTCGGGCCCACTAGACCGTGCTGGAAAATATACGAACAAGTGTGGAAAATCAAATCTGACAGTTGCCTGGATAAATTGATGTTTAGAATGTGATATCTTGTAACTAGGTAACGGAAACTGGATCGATGTTCTACTAAAAAAATACCCTGCGGGGCCATCCTTCCGCAGGTTTTCATCGAAGATGTAATTATAAATATTTCAGCTGCCTGACACGTCTTCGATACTTGGAGGGGCGTAATTTGCGCTCAAGTGAGTGACATGCGGGACAAATTCAGCGACATTCGCACACTCGGACCCCGTCTTAAGGTGGCCATTCACGATCGCTCCAAATGGAACCGCGCCAAGCCGTACAGCTCCATTTGGAGTGCCTGAAATTTGAGGGGTCATTCACGACCGCTCCATAACCAGTCGCTCCGAACGTCAACTAGTGAATTACCTTCTCAAAATGGATGACGGTCTCTTGTGCTACGCTTCTGTTTATTTATATATTGAAAGCAAAAAATCGAAAAGGAAATGGTGTAAGAAGTGGCTCCTGAACAGAAGCCATAATACCCACATCAATTTGATGAAAGATCTTTCGCTTGAACCCGCTGATTGGAGGAACTATTTAAGGATGGATGAAACTTCTTATTTATCCATTATATTTAGTGTTCTATTGACCAAATTACTTCTTTCTATTAATTAATATTTTTTGTAAGTTTTTGGTTGAAATGAAAAAGCTAGTGCCACGAGCGGGTTCTGGATCCATGGCCTTCGGATAAATACACCGCTGCTCTACCACTTGAGCTATCGTGACTTCGATCCTCTCCGACACCAAAAAATGGCAAAAATAGAGAAAATTCGAAAGATTGTAGGTTGAGATGGGGAGTTGGTGTCCGAGTGGATCGAGGTCACGATAGCTCAAGTGGTTAGCGCAGCGCCGTATTAAGCCGAATGTCGTGGATTCAAATCCCCTCGTGACACTATCTTTTTCATTTCAACCAAAACCTTACAAAAAAAAAAATATTGTCTTATTTATATTTACTCCAGCTTGTTACCCCCTTGATTAGAAAACAAAGGACAGTCATCTCTCGTTGCATTTGTATCATTTGTTTTGAAAACGTCGACCAACTGGTTGAGGATCGAATTTCTTTTATTTCTATCGTGGTAATCATTGTCCACCACTTTCCATAAACATGGTAAACTTTCATACAATTCAATCACCTCAACAATAAAATCTCGACTGGATGTCATTACCAATAAAGAGTAAACGTTTTTGACTTTTTGAGATTGTACGACGGAGATGTTTGCCCAGTGACAGAAAGACTGAGACTGCGCCAAAAAAACGCGGGTTACACCATTCACGACCAAGCCAGCGCTCCAATATTCCACCGTTCACGCCAGATTTTCCCATTCCCGTAGATATTTGGAGCGCCGCGATGGAATTTGGACCGGTCGAATATTCGGCACAGCCAGGCACGCCAGTTCAGTTTTGCCATTGACGTGGTTTTTGGAACGGCGTCGCTCCGTTTGGACTGCTTGGAGCGATCGTGAATGGCAACCTTTACGATATGTACGAACGTGTGGGCTTGAGTAGCTTGAGGATCCGCCTGGCCCACTATGAGACGAGAACGCGTAGTCATCCCTGACATAACAGGCTGACCTTAAATAATATTTATTTTACCCAACTACTGGCGTTTTTTCAAGAAGAAACTTAAAGACAGAAATATTTCCTGATGTTTTGGACTGATCCAGTATCAATATATTAACATTCCCCCTTTGAAAATCGGGAAAACTTTTAAAGACAGTGGAGGAAGTTCAGACATAAATGGCCCAGAGAAAGCAAAAGGAACAGAATAGAATCATAGGAGTCTGTGATATAAGGTGGTCATAAGTTCTCATATAAAAGAAAATATATACAGGTCCGGTGTAAACCAGGCTGACTAGAATTAAACGGGTTAGACTTTCTAACTTCCGCGGTTCGGCATATCGCGCGTGTACGGGTTTGTACCAATTCCCCCGGCTGTTACGCCTCTTTAAGAACCCATGTACCATTAAACTGTGTTTTGAAAGGGAACGTAGACCAAGGCGTTGATGAATATTTTTATAATTCAAAGGATTCTAGCCTGTTGTGAGATTTACCTGCGAGGACTGCATTGGCAACGAAACAGCAATTTGGCCGTTAGCCTTCTTCTCGCCATTTTCAGTCTTCGGTTTTATTCTAATATTTAAATATACGAGAATTTTAAGTCAATTCAACCTGGTGCCAACGTGGACCCTAATCACTTTGTTGGTCAAATAATAGGAATTTCGCATGTTCTAAAGTTTGTATGCACAATTAAAAAACGACCATCATGCGGCAAGTCGTGAAAAAGACAATGAAAATTTTACCTCCAAAACAAAGTTTAATTTAACAAGTCTAACATAATCTAACTAAACTTACCCGGGACATAACCCTACCTAGCCTAAATTTGCTTTTCTATTTAGTTTACACTTGAGTCCACTGGACTATCTTCTTTGGCATCATAAAAAATACAATTGGAAATCTGTATTCACTGGCACAAAGTAATAAACAACTTTGAATTAATTAATCTTTTATGTAAGGTATTAGTTGAGACAAAAAAGTCAGTGTCACGAGCGGGATTCGAACCCACAACCGGCTAAATACGTCGCTGCTCAATCACTTGAGCTATCGTGACTTCGATCCGCTCGGACACTAACTTCCCATCTCAACTCAACCTTTCGAATTTTCCCTCTTTTTTGCCATTTCTCAAATGTCGTGTAATCTATTTGATTCTCGGCCTGTCACTGATTTTCTTATCTCAGCCAATACCTTACATAAACGATTAATTAATTGAAAGAAGTTATTTAGAATCGGACCAAAATCTAACGAATTTAATAAACAACGTTAAACTCTAACCCCCCATCCAATGAATTTACATCATTAGGGCTATTCACGATCTTTGTGTTAACCTTGTTAACCATGTTAGGTCGTGTTAGATCGAGAAACCGAATAGAATCGGCAAGTTAACATTGCTCGATCTAACAGGTTTGGGCCAGTGATAGGTGTTAAGTCGAATCGAATAGCCGTCTAGTCACATTGTTAGCCGTTAGGACATTGGTAACAAACATGGTGGCTATGAATTTAACAGCTGTTTTGTTATTGTTATGTATTTTTATTTTTAAATTAAATCAGACCAATTAATTTCCGGCCTATACTCATACTCTTATTCATAGTGCATACATCCACCTATCCTATAAAGTAGTAGGCTTTTAGCTGTTAGGATGCAGGTTAGGTATAAATATGTCAGCACGAAGCGTGTCATTTGTAATTACTTTTCGAGTACATGATAGCATTTTGAAATGAAAGAGTTGATTGTGCTTTTTTAATAACCTTTGGCATCTCACCATTGAACACAAAACAAAATCACAAAAAACAACAACAAGCTTTCAGGGACTGTTATAGCTTTATTTTTGGTTCTACCAATCGCCACGCGCAGCATTGCGGAAAAATTAGCATTTAACATGCTAAGAAAAAACGTAGGCGTTCATAATCTTACTGCATATTTCTCGACTCGAGTTAACACGAGTACCATTTAACAAACATTGTGAATACCCCTAATTAAAAAAAATATCGTCTTAAACAAGTTAATGAACATTTCTACCCTAACCATTTCTATCCTAACCTAACCATTCCTAACCTATCTTAACCCTGACGCTACCAACCCTAATCTAATCTAATCATTATTGATAACTCATTTACGTATTAGTGATCAATTGACCAAGTTACATCTTTCAATTAATTATTATTTCCGTGTAAAGTTTTGGTTGAGCTAAAAAAATAAAGATTATTAATAACCTAACCTAATCCAACCTGATCATTCCTAACTTAACCTACCCATTCCTAATTTAACTTAATCATTCCTAATCTAACCTAACCATTCCTATTCCAACCTAGTCATTCCTTACAGAAGCTAACCTAACTATTCCTAATTCAAACTAATCTATCCAAAACTAATCTAATACTATCTAATCATTCCTAATCTAACCTAGCCCTACCTAATTATTCCTAACCATTTCTAACCTAACCTTATCCAATCATCATGCCTAACATAACCTAATCCGAACTGTATCTAACTTAATCTACCAAACCTAACATAGATTTTCATAGAAATTTCACGTCCCTAACAAACGTGGAGGAATGAACATTTCGTGTGACAGAAGCTCACAAGTAGATCTCTAAACTAATCTGCGATGAAGGATGGATTTCTAGAAAGGTTCAAATGACTGGATTGAAAATGAAGGCTAAAAAAATAACATTTATTGTAAATAAAGTAAATCCATTTTGATTGTTATTTTGTTCTGGGTTAGGTAGTAGGAGGTAGTGCAATGAAAAATTTTGACTCCCGTATGAATTCACTTATGGAATTTTAATTTTTGGATTAATAATAAGATACAAAGAGATAAAAATTTTAACTTGTATAACTTTTGTTCAAAAACAGACACAAAGCCAAGCGAAAAAAATTGTGAGAATAGTGGGAGGTACTCCAGCTTTATTTGCACGGTTACACGCAAAAAGAAAGTATAAAAGACTATAAAAGATTTATTCCATGGTAAAAGATCGTCTCGTTAGTATATACTCTTTTCTTCTCTTGATTTTTATTTTTACGTTAGTTCGAGTTTTTTCAAATCCTAAGACGGAATTTTCTAAGCCTCGTCTTGTTTTAGTTTCGAGAAAGACTGGGAAAGTCGGAAGGAAATGTTAATTCGGGATAAACGACCTGGTGTAAATGCGGCCAAGGTGAAGCTTCAGAAGACGAATGGTCGTACAATGGGCACGGTTCACCCCACTAATTATATTAATAGCCGGCCGGGCGAAACAAAAAAACCTAATCAAATCTTACAAACTGCGCTTGACTATGTATACATACTTTAGATATGATGCTTGGTTGTTTTTGATCATTTTAGCCTGGCTATTCTCGCTTTTTTAATTTGTAGGTTTAGTTTTTCGCCAACTTGCTATGTAAAGAAGTGTAGATAATACACAACTATTTATACAAAATACACAATTATTTATTAACCCTTTCT